TTACTAAGATCTTTAAAGAGACAAGATAGAGTAATAAACAAGCAAGTTTAAAAATCGATTAGTGAAACTATTAATGATTTTTAAATCTTATGATTTCTTCGTTCCACAAAATAAATTTCTATCGATTCTCTTTAATCTATCTACTTTTTACAGACGGTCCTTGATTGCGTGGTATGCGTGACTGCACGTGTGTAATACATACGCGCTTGTGGAATGCGTGAGAGTAGGGCCACAGCTGTCGACTCGTGTGGCTGTAGTCGCCAGCGTGTGTCAAATACCACAAACGGTAAGGATCATTGATCGAAACTTTTATTTGAGATCAAAAACGAATTTACAAATGCGCGCAAATACATAGATCATTTTTTCTTGTGTAAAGAAGAATTTAATATTATATATATAATTTCGTATGTTATTTACATTTTTAAAATAATTGAATTATAACAAATACAATGTTCCGTTATTTAATATTTCTTTTTCGCTGCAAACTATTTAAAACATCCAATACTTTATGCAAAGTAATTCGAATAACAAATTGTATGAGATAAATTTTAATTTATAAACTCTCATCTCTATTCAAATTAATGATGACCCCCATTTAGCTCTCATTTTTTACAAATCTTATTCTTAAATTTTATTATATTTGATTTCTTATGACGATTGAGAGTTGAAGATAGAAGCGCAAAGGGTGGCAAGTATTTAAGAGGAGAGAGAAGGGTAGGCCGGTGGACCCGAGGGGCATATGCGTGCGGCTTAAAGGAAAGGCTCGTTGTGCGGGCGAGGTGGAAGGAAGGGAAAGCGAAGGAGGAGGAGGTTGAGAAGCAGCTGCCAAGCGGCAAAACGAGAAACAGGAATGAAGCAGCTGGCCGCCCCGTGCAAAGCGCAGGTGCACCGACCATACATCCCTCTTTCTTCTTCCTGCCGTAAATACTAAATGGTAGCGGCAGCCGTTATCTACATGGACGCCCGTTGTCCGCGCGTGAGCAGCCGCATGCCGAGCCCTTCGGCGTGTATACGCATACCGCGAAATCGATTTTGAATCATTGTGAGCGAAAAAAAATCGGCTGTGGTCATTGAGCGGCACGCGTACATCTAGGAATTCCGTCAGATTTCAATATCGTCAACGACAGTATTGAAAAACATACGTAATATACAAGTTTTTATATGTAAGACACATCATTCATTTCTAGATTTTATATATAGACGTGCGGAGAAAGAGGAGAGAACTCTAATTTTAGCAATATTTAATTTTATCTTAAACATTTGGCGAATTTATTTTAACTGAATATACAGTTAAAATAAAATACTCGAAAAATTAATAAATTTATAATTTGATGTAAATTTTATTTCATGGAAAACAACTGAAAAATGAAATGATTAAGTTGTTCCAAAATAAAGTATATTCTTTGTAATAAGTAAATCTCCCTCTCTCCTCTCATTCCACACCTGGTTTGGTTCAACGGCATTGCAAATTGGTACCACCTGCCTATCATCTTCTGTTTTATTTTCTCTGGTATCAGCCTTATTTCCTAACATCTGCGAGAAGAGAACAATTTACCTGACTACTGACATCCGCGCAAGAGCGGGACAGGAGGCTGGCGCGTTCCTTGGTCGCGGCGATGTCGAGCCTGATGGTACCAAGGGTGGCCTCGATCTTGGTGATCCTTCCACCGAGATCGCGTATACTCCTGCCTACCTCGGCGACGTCACCCTTCAGTAGGGTCAGCTCACTCCTCATCCTCGAGCGTTCGGCAAGCTCCTCGCTAGCGTTCCGGGTCCTGAGCACCTCCGCAACTTCGCTCTGTAGTTCCGTCACGGCACTGCCTAGCCATCGCACCCTCAATCGCTCGTTCTTCGCCTCGTTGCCACTTCCGCCGCGAAGAGCATTCACTTCCTTCCTATGTGCGAGGGGATACGATTATAACGTTTTTGTGATGTCCATTCATTTTAAAAATGGCCATATTTTTTTATGTGTATCGTAAAGATAACAGAGGAATAGCTAAGACCGTCGCATTTTTAAAACAAGAAACTGAGAGTAAATCTATATCTTTATTTCTTATTACCAAGATAACTTTATACATATAAATCATATTATTATTATATCAAAACATCATTGTTTATCTAAATTCAGATAGCTCTAACTATTAAATTTTACTTATTTTTATATAGAAATAACTGTACTCTGTTGCCTTTGTAAAAAATTGATCTGATAGAAACCTTAGACTTCAATTAACTTCTAAGGCTTCTCGCACAGGCATAATTATGCACTTGACGAGTTCTAGTATATGTGTATTGTATTATAATATACATTTACTAAAACTCGTCAAGTGCATAATTATGCTTGTGCGAGAAATCTTAGATACACTTACAATACACTGCATACAAAAAGAGACGAAGCAAATTGTGTCTTACCTCAGTTGTTTCACTTCGTTCCTTAGGACGATGAGTTCAGTATTTTTCTCCATCGCTTGTTTCAAACTTTCCTCCAAAGCATTGTAATCTTCCTGTCGATGATCCAACAATGCGCTCACTTGCTCCTGCAGTAATTTGATCGTACTATTGAGATCCTCATCCGCGCGCGTGCCAGCGATCAACGTATTCGCAGCTATAATCGTTGATAACAGCAACAACAGATTCGCCATCTCCAGGATTTCTTGAATATTTTCAGTCAAGATCTTCGGATTTCTATGCTTCTCAATTCATATATATTTCCCCTCAGGGAAATATATTTTTTATTTTATAAATCCTCGCGATGTGTATTATCATTTATACATACACAGATCCTCGGATGTTATTCGACATTTAACAGATCTTTTTTATTTAATCTCTTCTAAATTCTCGCATCTTCAAATTCTTGAAAATTCTTGCCGGGATTAATTTTGAATTTCCTCAGTAAGAATTTTTTATGAACACCTTTGACACAACTGGTGAACGGATTTATCGATGATTCAATGTGATTTTTATACGATTTATCTGATTTATCTCGATAGCGAGATCGTTCAATCAAGTCACGAAGTCACGTGCAATGCGAGGATTGGCGCAATGTGTTTGATCGCTTCTCGAAAGCCTACTGGCGCGACCGAAACGGTGTACGAGTTTTATATCGGTCCTTGGACAAAGGTCCGCTCGGACCCGGTGTGGAGCAGGTGTTCGGCAACACCAGGCCTTCGTCAGGTATATATTGTCTCGCGCGCCGCCATCCGTATCCCCACATGCCTGTTATGCGGTCCCTACCCACTCATATTCCAAGATGAGCATAAGATCGTAATAGATACGTCGTATATGAGATCGTGATATGATAAATGTGCGAGTACAGGGTACTGGATAATAAGCACGAGTGGCGAACGGAGTAAGATTTTCGGTTGAAAGTTTTCTTCTCTCGATAAAATTTAATTTGAGTTAAAAAACATAGATATCTTTCTATAAAACTTTTTAAACTTTACTTTCATTTAATATATATTAGTAAATATCTCTCTAATAAAGATTTTGCAAAATTGAAATCTATCTAAAAAGATTGGATGGATTTCTGATTTGCTTGCGGTTTGCAGGACCGTTTGTACAAATCACAGGAATGTATTATATGAATGTGTTACGTTTTAAGAGGATATGGATTTCTGTTATGTCGCCTAATCGGAAAAAAAATGAGAAAGGCAAACGGCCAATTCGACATATCAGGTAAAATTAATAATTTATTGAAAACAATTGTCCAACCTGTTGGAATCTACCATCTATGTTTACGGATATGGTAACGCGTTAGTGGATATTCATTTGGGCTGGAAATACGGCTATGTGTTTATGTGTTTGGATTCATTTGTATGACAAAATGTTGGATATAATACGGAAATTCTCACAGACGCACAGACGCGTGTGAAAATAACGTTCTCCCGTTAAATATAACGTCATTCATTCCCGAATAATATTTATACGATCTCACGATATTTGTTCGAAGTCGATGCTAACGATGCTAATATTACCGAATATTCCATGAGTAATAATATGGCAGAAAATGGCACTGAGCTAATTATTCCTGTAAAGGCGAATAATCGATTCAACGAATACGATAGATTCGAATAGAATTAGATATAACAGAGAGGTATTTGCAATACCGGTAATTTTCAATACCGTGTTTTGAATATGATAAACGCTAAAAATCACGTACAATGCTGCAATAGATGTGATTGATAACTTATAATTTATTTGCAAACTTTGCGAAATATATCCAGTAAACAAACAACGCGGAATGTTAGCAGACTGGAACAAATTCCATTTAAAAAATTTAATAGATTTACTATTTAATAGATTACTCTTATGTTCGCATTAAGTGTTCTATTGCTGGAAGGGCTTATCGACAACATGAGTAGATTAATGGCAGAAATTGAGCAAAGTCTGTTGAACGCAGATTCTCGCAGATTTCTGCTATCAAATATCTGTTCCTACTATCAATCTGCTATCAAAGTTATGTAAATATTAAATGGAGTTTGTAAAATATTTTCATATATTTGGCTTATTTTTATCACTGTTGTAACTTTTATCTTTGACAGATTAAACAGCGTGACGTCTTGTAGATATTAATCCTCCTAAAAAATCCACACAATTCATTTAACAAAAAATTTACATTGAACACAGATTCTGCTCGATTTCTGCTATCATTCTGCGTCAAACTATAAATAAATCTGCTTGGTTCTTGTCACGAATCTGCTGTCAAATAATATAAATAAATTCTGTTATATTCTTTGTGACATTCTATCAGCAGCATGTATAGATTCTGCATTAAATTTGTAACCTTCCAGTAGATCTATTCTGTAACTTTTAATAACAGTTCGTTATACTATCGTTGCGTAGCTTTTTCACTATATAAAATACTTGCGTACAACATCTCTAGCTAGTAAAATTGTTAAAAAGTTACAAAATAGATCTACAAAATAGATCTGTTGATAAAATTTATCAGTAGATATTTTTTGTTAGTAGCAAAATCTATTCAGGCAGACTTGGCTGTCTGGATATTTATACCAAAGACGCGAATTTAGCGTTTATAGCATTCAAGGTGTTTATGATATTGCAAAAACTCGCTAACAATCGCGGGATGGAGGTGAAGGGTGAATTGGACCAAAATTAAAAACCTGTATAATAGAAACAGATAAGAGAAAACAATAGAAATTGAAAGAATTTTCAAAAGATACAAGAATGGAAACGGCAAGAAAATTTTCATTCTAATCCTATTCACCCTGCATTTCCGGCTAGCCCCATTACAATACACATTATGTAAATAATTTACCGCTTATATTTTATAGAACCAAACTCACGTTAATTCACATCGGTTCTACATTGCAAATTTAGGCAATAATGCACTTAAATTATGCCTTAGGGATGGGAGGGGGCGTAGCTATAGCTCTTATGATCAAAAACAAAATATATAAATTTCTATACACAACAATTAGTTGAATCTCACGCGTAAACAAAAAGCAATCTTAACGAAAAAAATAAAAATAAAAAGCGAATGCCGAAGCTTTTTCTTTTTGTTATCATTGCTACGTCCCTGGTTGGGGCATTTCATATGCCTAACACGTGCCAATCGCGTGTCCCCAATAAATTCTCTAAAGAATTACGTCACTTAAACGCATCTTCAGAATCTGCTACTCTGTAACAAGTACTATATACTTAGCACATACTACGGAAGTTAATCCGATTACACAGCCAGAAAGTCAAACTTAATTTTGTGCAATGTGCGTACATAACGCTAATTGGATTCCTCCTTAAGTCTGGGCAGATCCGTACGTGCCGGTCGGCGGTCGGTAGAGTCTAGGCAGCGTTAGAATCTGCAAGCTGTTGAACGCATACTTGCGCACACCGATATTCTTCCACGTGTTCTCCCGGCGACAGCCCTCGCTAAAACAGAAAGAAGCAATGCATTCATCAAGTAATTCAAAATTTACGAGATAATCCCAATTGCCAATAATATAAAAAAATATTTAAAATTATTTCGTACATTACGCGAGAGTAAAAAAATTTTTTAAAATTTAATTACATATAATGATTAATTCGACTCCGTTCAAATATCTTTTCTTCTTTTTTTTACACTTACCTTCGCATACAATCGAGAGCCCTCATGTACTCGTGTTCAGCCAGATGATACTCCGATGACAATATATTAACTTGTTCAAGAGTGATGGACATACTAGTCCGATCTTTCGCGCTTTTGCAGCTGGTGAATCTCAAACCACGCATTCTTCGACATATTTGCGAGGACAATTGCAAGATTTCTACATTCTTATTGACTCTTTCTTGTACACACGTTTTTAAATTCACCATCATATCCGACAATGTGTGGCCCAGAATTGACCTAGCGGCAACTGAAATAAAAAAATATATCAATTTTAGAATCTATTAAAAAGAATCTATTAAAAAATATGTAAACAATACAAAAATCTAAAAGGCGAAAGAAAATCCAAAGAAAATATCTTATAAGTTTTAAATATTTTAAACAATATTTCTTAGATTATTATCTTTACAATAAGCTTAGTTAGTTCTATACTTACAACGCGTAGATGTAGGTTCGGTTGGTAAATTCAGTTTCTTAAATCTTAAATAATATTCGTTCAATCTATCAAAGTTGTCCATATTGCTTTTCTCCTGTGGTTTTGTGGTGCCAAGGCTCTCGGCTAAGGAAGCCATTTCGTTGATACCGACATTGAAAAATACAGGAGTTACATTGAACGACAATGTTTGTCTTGAGGAGGGCACTAATGGCAAGAGAGAATAAATCGCATCTGGAACTGGGAGGATCACCGTTAGCGCACTTCGCGAGCCTACTACGCGCGGCACAGGAAGCTGGAATGCATTAGACTTTCCTTCAACTCTGTAAGAATAACATTTGCGTTTAGATGAACATTTTTTTTAATTCTTAAATACTTCACTATGGAAACAACAACTGGTATATGGCATACCTACCCAATTTAACCCAATTTAATTATTTATAATTTGCATAAAATTAATACGCAGTTATTAAATTTTGATTTAAAGACTCCGATTTCGTTAAGTCCAACCCTCCCTATTCAGGATCTAATCGAATCTAATCGAAGAATATCTAATCGAAGAACAACATCAGAAATAATAAGTACGCTTTCAAAGCATATTGGATAAAAAAGACCCCACAGTAACATCAGCAAGGACGACATTGCGGAAGAGAATTTCGTAATATTTCCGGAGTGAAAACTATCCTAGACAGAAACTGGAACCGACGAGAGTATTCAGCAAAACGAAAAAAAAAAATATATTTGTCAAAACTTTTGTATAGACTTACAGAAAAGTTTCTACATTAACGAGTCGATTTTACTATGATGCATTTTATACTTAACTATCTAATCGAAATAGAGGAAAACGTTTGCTTGATTAAGCAATGGAAAAGCATCAGAAAAAAGCTGAGTATGCCATACTGAAAAGGTGTTTAAGGGTCAATTAAGAAATGCGATAAAACTTCTGCCCACCTCGGTTGAATACCACATCTGGACAGAGTGAACGTGACAGTATGCGTGTCTTCGACCGCTACAGCCATGTCACCCCACATGTCTATCTCGTCTCCGTAATAGCTAAGAAGGCCTTCAAAGGAGACCAATGGTCCCAGAGTTGTAAGTATTAGCAGAAACATCGGGTCAGGCCGTTGACACCATAATTTCGCCATTATGCCGGTTACTAAGGCAGTTAGCTGAAATTTTATGGGGTTATTCTCAAATGTTCTTACATATCTTTCCAAATTGAATAATATAACGATAAACTCACCGCTTGACTGAAGCAAACATCTCGTCTATACCGAACGTTGCAAGCGCGTTGCGCCGTTTTTGAATCCTCCTGTACGCGAAATACAGAATGTGTCAGTCTGGCAGTTTTCAGCAGACCGTCCATAGCTTGCCGCAGCTTCTTCATGCTCGGTCTGAGCTCGCTCGTCCAATCGACAATCGATGCGAAGTCTAGGCCTTCAGTAAACTTGTTTCTCTGTCCCGAATTACTTTTGATCACACGTGTCATCGAATCGACTGCTTGGCACACTTCATTGGAAGACGAGTTACGATAAGTATCGGTTATCCCTAATAATGTATTATGTTGCATGTCTTTACTACGTTTTACTACATTTTTACATAAAGAACATTACATAAGAAAACTTCCTTACCTTCCTTTGCCTTGGAGAGCGCTGATTTCTCCAATCCTGGGCTGGACTGTTGCAGCTCGTTTGATTCTTCAAGCAATTTGTTCGACTCCTCGCACTTGATACCGTTCTTTGGCTGAATGGTAACGACTTCAACATTATGCCGATTGCTTGGCAAGCAGCCCTTTAAACTCTGCGATCTGCCCAAGCTACCTTTGTTACGCAATCGTACGGCTGGACTGCTGCATCTGCCACAGAGAAACTTTACCTTAGACACGAGGCACATGACGCTCGCCTCAATATTCAATTGAGTGAGATCCCACGGCTCCGGCTCGTCTGTAGGTTTGTAATAATTTGCGGATGGCGAATTGCACATTTTTTGAGTGTCTAAGAAACGCTTGCACGGATCGGTATCGTTCTTCAAATCCTCCTTCTCATCGTCGTAGCCTTCCTTTCTTTCGTTGTCGTGATTTCGCTGAATACTCTCGATTTCCGCTTCTGCCTGTTTAGGATAATCCTCCACATCCGGAAATATTACAAAATTCTCTTCTGCAACGTCGCTCTCGCCAGTGTTATTGTTCGGCGCCTCATTTCTCGAATACGTTATGGAAGTGTACTCGCCATTTCTGATGCCGTTCTTCGACCAGATATCTTGCACGCATTCAGGAGTGTCGGGCGTAACGAAATCGTCGAAATCGGGGCTCTTTAAGTCGAAATTAAGTTGCTGCGTGATTCGTTTAAAGGGTGACAAGGATTGATTAATTTTAAAGTCCAGCGTCAAAGTGTCGTCCGAAGATGAGGTCGAGTTCTCCTGGACTTTCGCGACTTTGTACTCTTCCAAAAACGTTAAAGCCTCCTCTACTAAGCCGGGATCCCAGAGACTAAGTAAGATCCTAGTTTTTGTGATCATATCCTCGCATATCGGCAGCATGCCACTCGTCTGCTTCTCCTTGGCAAGTTTCATTAAGGATCTCATTGCTTCTACAACATCCCGGCGTAATTGTTTGATCGCTTGGATCGCGTCATGCGCCATCGTAATTTTGGATGTTCCCTGATACAGCTGATTACTTCGCATAGGCGACTCTTTTAGTGCCTGCACCAATCTGCAGACAAAAAACAATATTACCAAAAACTGTAATTGTATTTTATATACTTTGACAATCATTTGGATAAGGAAGGATACCTTATGAGTCCGCCGTTTTTACTTTTATGAGAATGGGCTGTAAATGCTCCTACGCTAATAAAATCATAAAATCCGCACTTGTTCAATGTATCGTTGTGGACCCACATTCGTTGAAGATGTAAATTCAAAGGCGCAAATTCGAGAGTACGGTCGTTTTTACGCGACGACTGCTTGAAATAACTCCCTGAAATTCAAATCACCACATTAGAACATTAAATTTTTAGAGACGAGCTAATTCATTTTTTCTTTCACGAATATATTGAACTATTTGTTACGAAATAAATGGATTCACCTTTGTAGGCGGCTAAGTTTTCTTTGGCTTGGGAATACAAATGTAACAAGTGAAGATGACGATCAAGCAATTCGATTTGTTTTGTATGCCATGGCTCTCTCAATTCTCCCATTCCAGCTACTTCTTGTAATAATTCCTTTTCTTCCTGTATCCAAATAGCTCTGCAATTAACCGCGACGTTATTTCACTATGGTTTTCACGATTTTTATCATTTATAACATAGTATCAGATGAAATATGCTCACAATAAATGTTGTGGAAATTGGAAACAGAGTTTACTCTCTGCCATAATCTCATGTACGCATATATCACCTCCTAATCCGGAGTGGAATCTATGATAACCAGATCAGATGAGGGCTATAAAATGCATCTATAATAACGTTGATTTGTTAGTGTAGAAACTTACCTGTAAGTCTGCACAAATGGATTCGCAAAGAGAAGTTTTAATTGGCCTTGATGTGGGAACTTAATTTTTGTCCCTAATCTTGGAGGTAACGATTGTGAACGTCTATGCGAAGGCAGCTAAAAAATGTTACATATCGATAAGAATTAAATGGTTGTATAAACAAAATAATGATAATTCTGTCTAGAAATACTGATCAAATTAACTTATTACTTGTTGGTTGTTACTATTATATACTGCATTTCGCGATGGTGTACTCTCTGTGCTATTCCCTTTATCCTCGGCTTCCAGATTCCACACGTTAATTGTTAAAAATCCAACTGTCGTTGTTTTGGCTGATTTTAATGGTATCCTTAATCTAAAAAAAATTCAAACAGTTGAAACAATATAATTAATTAAATAATTTTGATGTATGCAGTTAATCAAAGAAAGTTATAATACATTTTCTTAAATATATAAAATTTTAATTTTAATTACATGTAATTAAATTAAAAATTTTTTAATTTTATATTCCAATGCAGGATTTTCGAATTTAAATCGATATTCATAAATTAGAATTACCTAGGAGTGTCTTGCACTGTACTGAATGTCACTACCGCACTTCCTATTGGAGTTGCAGTTTGGCTAACTCTTTCTCTGACATCATATGCGGTTATTCTAATTTTCGTTTCAGTGGTTAATCCATCGCTAGCTCGGAAGCTTACCGTAGTTAAGAAATTCGGATTACTACTTCGCTGAAACAGATCACGAAGAAACTCTTACAGAATTACAACTTGGAGGGGAAACAGTTTTCGAGAATTTTTCGTAGTTACCTCTACAACTTCCGTTCGTGCATACTTAATCCAAGTTTTGGAAGATTTAGACTGTACATCTATCTCTAAAACGGGAGTAGGTGGTCGGCCGTGTCCATCACACAACAGATTGTCGCAAGCTAGTGATATCTCGCACATTGGTACTTCCGCCGGATCTGGGGAAAAAAAAAAAAAAAAAAAAAAAAATCAGTACAAATCCATTCACGAGAATGATGTACGTCAAATTTTACTTATGCTTCATGCATTAAGAGTGAATAGCGATCCATATAGAATACAATTTTATTATTACGTATACTTGTAGCTGTAATGAAATACTTTACTAGCTTTAAATAAATACCAAAGTTGTATTCTGTGAAAAACATTGCAATGATATTTTATTAATAAAAATTCAACAAAAATATGTTCCAAATCCTGCATCAATTAACTCCACGAATTTAACATTAAATTTGTCAATAAATTTTAAATTTAATTTTTGTCAAATTTTCTTAGCTATTAATCTAAAATTAAAGAACTTACAATAATCAATATGCTAAAGAAGCCGTGAAAAAAATTGTGCATTCTTCAGATAAGAGAAAACTTTAAATTTTGAGACAATTAAAGCGTTCACACCTGTGAAGGTCCCGCGCTGCAGCCGCAACATCTGTATATCGGTGTCGTGTTTGTGCCCGCTGAAAGCCTCGATGCGCTGTCGCAATGACAACAATTGGCTCCGCATACACTCGTAGCTGGCCAGCTGCAGCGCCTGCAACCAACTGTCCCGTTCCTCGGCCGTGTTGGCGCCTAACTGTTGAAACAAGCCTCCGTCGAAAACTGCAACATTTTTCCCTTTCTGTGCTTTTTAACGTTGCCTTGCATGCTACGTGAAAGCGAAACAGGCATGCATGCATGCAGATGACGACGAGTATGTCATCAATGCATCATTACAGTGATGCATCAAGGAAAAAAGAGAGGAAAGGAGAGGAAAATACAAGAAGCTACAAATGATACTTGCCTATGCTGAATCCGTAAGGAACCTGGTTGCTGGACGGATCCACACGAACTGTACACTGTTCCAGTATGATCACTCCTAGCGGCTCCGACCACTGTTCCCGCGATTTGAAATAGAATAGAAGGTTGCCTCGCAGTCTGCACCATCGTTCGAGACTTACTGCACAAGAGAAGCAAAGCAGCAGCGGCTTAAGCGCGATCGTTCATATGTTGGGATATTTTCATTAGAGAGGGGATTTCTGTGAGCGATAATAAGCGGCAGAAAAAGAGACAGAGGAAGAGGAGGACAATATCTTTCGCATCCGTTTAGTTCATTACGGACATTCTAGCGATTAATGATCATGTTTTTCGAAAGAGCTTATCAGTCGCATCGAAATAGTCATTAATAATAATATGCAAATGAGGCTCTCCAACTAAAGATCTGTTAAAGATTTATTAGCAATTGGACTTCAGTTTATGTGCTTGAGAATACTGATTAATGTTAATAAAGAACACATCCACGTGTCCTCCTCCGATTTTAATAAGCTGTGGATATATTAAAATATAAAGAAAAATATGAGCCACATATTTTTTATAAATACTTTCTTGCACGTTAAAAGAATGAAATTCTCTCTTGAAAAGAATTGGTTTTTCCTGAGTGAAAATCGTTTAAATGGTCAAAGATACAAAAAAATATTTTAAATAAAAGTTAAGTGATTTGAAGAGTGTTTTATATAGTAATGATTTAAAAATTAGTAATAAAAAATAGTAATAAAAAAATTATAATAATGATTTAAAAAATATTTTATTTATAAAAAATTTAAAAAAATTGTTTATCCTCTTAACACATGCACACATAAAAAATAAAGAATAAAATAAGAAAGCATTTATAAAAAAAAATATGTATCTCTTATTTTTGTCTTATATATTGAAAGCTTATAAAAATTGGAAGGGAATATTTGATTATGTTCTCAGATAATCGTGACAAGATTATTTTTCTTTCTTATAGTTTACATAGAATATTATGTCCTTTCAAAAATACACGATTTCATGAAACCGTTTACCCTTATCATTCTATCATATTATGTCACTGTGTCCTTGATCTTTCCTATTTTCATTAAGATCAATGCGATTGATGCACTCTTGAATTACAGATATTTACAAATACAAGCACCAAAAACAAGATTCTTACATGCTGTAAAGATATAAATGTAAAATGTATACATATATTTAAAAAATATTTTCTACTTATTTTCTTTAAATTTAAAGCGCTGCGTGTCTCGTGAACGGCGGATTAAATCAAAACTTCTATGTTATTTTTCCTTATTTTTTTCAGAGTTTCTATCGAAAAATGCATACAACATGCGAAGCATTTCATTTCACATGCAATTCTCGATTTACCACCGAAAGTGATTTTTGTAATTTATCAAGCTTTCGCACTTGATTAACTTTTTTAACAAAAAATAATCCCCCAATTTATATTGAGATATTAATTGCTGATAACAATTTAAATAATGCAAACCAAAAGTAAATTACAAAATATTATAGTTGTGAGAGTTTGTTAATATTGAGAATTTTCGTTTTTATTCCGATAAATCGAGAATCAAGCTCAGTAATAAATTCACTGCATGCAAACATTATATATTAAGCAAAAAAGTCAAATTAAATTTTAGTGTAAAAATTAGATACAACATATTAAATAGAAAGAATAGAGATGTTAAATTTCCGAGCTGGAAATTTAGATATTTTATTTATTCGTTAGATTATCTAATTTTCCTTATCCAATCTTTGTTTCAATATGCCATAAATAAATTGCGAGATTGATCTCACTGAAGCGTGCGTCGAACTCTTGCAAGTGTTTTTTAAGTGTCGAAAGAAATACGTCCACACACGTTAATCAAGATTAGTCGGGCCGTCAAAGAGCGTGTTAATCGCGTTAAAAATTGTGAAGTAGGAGCGTGAGATGGATTCCAATAAGTATGTATCATATTACAGCAAAATGCACTCGGGTAAATGTACCTTTGCTCAAGCCGGCAGTAACGCAATTGAGATCTCGTAGACTTTTATGCGATCTTCCTTTCTGATTTTTGTTCTCGGATTTTTTACCTGTACCTGAAAATTGCACGAGATTGCTAATAGCTGTCACTACGACATTTTAATAAAGTAAAAGGGCATGGAGAAAGAGCAGCGAGTGAGTTAATTTAACTGTTGCGATTATGTGGGTTGCGATTATATCAGGTCGTATCGATTTATAACAAATCGCGTGAGCATGAAATATAGGTCTCTGCGAATCTCTTTGTTATCAGTTTATTAATATCTCTTAATGAATTATTTTTATCGTCGCTAATTCATGGAAAAAAGGAATAGATATTATTTTTAAATAATTCATTTGATTTTATTTTTTTCGAATTCTCATTCTGTTATTAGAACATTTCTGCCTCGTAAAATTAAAACATCATTTAGTACTTACTTTTTACTCAAATATTTTATGTATTTAATTTAGAATAGAATTTTAGATAATGTAGGATAAGGTAATTTCAAATGTGATATAATTTCAAATATATAATTCTAAACAAAATTAAAAGTTTATTTTTTATTAAAAAATTCTTTGAACTACACGGTGTGATAAGTTAAAATGAAACTATATGTTTATTTTTATTTGAACTTATTGCACTGGATTTATTTACATTGTAGTACATCAGTTCAGAGAGTTCATCGATAAAAAACAGACCTAAGATTTTTTTTAGTTTCAAGTTCGGTGATCTTTTTTCATTTTGGTACTCTTTAATACCCTCTACATGATGAGATTAGAATTATCAAACTTGAATCTCAGAAATCTCCAAATTTTACTTTCTTATGAATTGTATCACCTCATCTTATAGTTTTAAATTAACCGAATAAATTTCGCTCTATTCTTGATACCTTCGCGAAGTTTCTAATACTAATGTCATTCAACGTATGACAAAACAAATAGTTTGCTTCGTGCAAAGCCATGCCGTAATATGAAAGAACAGAGAAACAGGATAAATTATCAGTCTCTCCACTGATGTTATGGGATATCGAATAAGTCAAATGGAACAATTCATGGAAGCCAATAAAATCTCTTTCGTGCAACATATTCTATCATAATGTAACATTTAATAAATCATTAAGGGAACTTAAATATCAAACAATTCCAATCAATAAATATAAAAAGGTTTCGAACGACATTAATGAATCATGTCTCTTTTATTACTAAAACAAAGCTAAAACCAAATGCAGCCATTTTTTTTGTAAATACTTATAAGGCTAAATATTATATTTGTCCATTTTTGATAAATTCTTCAAGCGTATTAATTGACAGAAAAATTCTCAAATCTCTCTATCCTACAGTCAATCAATAGATTTGAAAAATTTTGTTGTACCACAAAAACGGACAAATGTAATAATAGTCTAACACGTTCGACATCTGAATCTGAATCGCAAGATCTTCTATAAAGGTCTCTACATCAAACGAAGAATTTTTAGAAATTTATCATCAAGCCGTGAACAAAGAATAATCATGCATCGGTAATCATTCGCCAAGATAAATTCCATCGCTATAATTGATCTTATAATTTGAAGAGGTATTTATTACGTTTGTGGACGTTCCAAAAACTCACTTTCCGTCCTGCGAAAGAAGCCTTCTTGCCGTTCTTTTACGTACAGGATACCCTCTTTCTCGAATTTTTGCGAAGGCTGCGTAGCCAGAGTCAATAGCTCCTGCTTATTGAATCTCATCTTGCGCAGGCAATCAAGCCGACATATTTACAGTTTTCGCTGTTTACTTGTCTCTTATATACTGGAAGTTGAAAAAGTCTTTAAAAACCATCATGCATTGAAATTTCAATAGTTGCAATGCAACTATTATACAATCTTGAGAACTAACATTCTTTTTCTCTATCAATTCTGTATTAATTTAATTTTTATGGATTTAATTTACAAATATGTAAGCATAACAAGAATTGATGCCTTATATTTGGTATACATTTTATATTGCATTTTATATTGCTATTCATAGCAATACACTGAGAAAAATGTCTTGGTTGTACCAACAAGAGGCCACAAACAAATGGCAGCCTAAATTATATTAATTAAAAATCTAATTATTTATCATAATTAAATTTCTGATTATCTTGATTAGAAGAAGCTTGATAAAAAGTGTCTGATTTGCACACGATTGTTAAACTCATAATGTCAAATTATATCCAATTTTAGTTATTTATAATAATTTCTATTCATTATCACTGCTCTTATTCAATATGTATTATCATTAATTTATAAATAACTAAACAGTGGAATTAAACAATTTAATTCAAGAAAATTTATTAAATTTGACTTAGATTTAATTAATTATTTATTATATGTTAATATAGACTTTGAAACTAATTACAAAAATAGATGGATTTACATGTTGATATACATAGAAGTTAAAAATAACAAAATGTTATTTAATTCAAAAGATTGGGTTGCCATTGCTTCTTTGATATCTAATAGTAAATCTTTAATATCAGAAATTGAATCTATCAGAATTTCAATTAATACAATCAGCTTTTTCGATATAAGAAATATAACTGTCAAAATAGTATAAACCTCAACTTTTCAGAATATATCTTTGATTTGATATAATAAGAACTTTAAAACACAATATTCTTAGAACGTTATATGAATGTCAAATAATGTTCAAGTAACATTCTAAGAATATATAGGAATTCCTAATTTCGATTGAGTTAATCAATAAGGTATCTTTTGAAGCTTTTATACTATATACACATACACACACACACACACACACACGCGCGCGCGCGCGCGCGCGGATCTTTCATTCTTGTAAATTTTTTTCTTTTGAACTAGGAACACTTAATGTTCTTTCTTTTTTTTTTTAAGTACATAAATACTTTCTAAAGATATGAAAGTAAGTTATATATAAGAACTTAATAATTTTAGTATACTTGTAAAAATTATGAAAATTAACAGGGAATGACTAATAATGTAAAGAACCAAAAACCATCGTGCGTAGGTACTAGAATTAACCAAGAACTAATTCATTAACCGAGTTACAAGTTCATTCACGGAAAAACAAAGGCTTATAAAGAGAAGGGAGAGACGTACCATTTTTACAGATGGATCACTGCTCGAAGTTCCTCTCGCTGCCATCGGCATTGCGGCACGCTCTAAAAGATCAAAACACGACTGGAAAACGGTAATCAGCAGCGCGATATCGAAAAATTTCTATATTCGCTCACTCACGCCGACGGTAGAATGCTGAATTCAGTAGCAACGGGAATCCAGGATATCCAAGCTCGCCCGTTCTCGCGAGGAAATTCGCAGTCGCGCATCGAGGAATCCCTGTCAAAAACCAACCATGTCCCGCACCGCCGTTCCCCACGGATAGCTCATTCCCGTCGCGTTATCGTAAATCAATCTTAAGCCGACGGGATGCACGTGCGACATGGAGAACGAATCGGTCGGGATCGTACGAACGTCCGATTCGCGCGACAATGTTAACGCATCGCGAGCGAGACTTTAAGGCGTGAAAAGCAAACATAGCGGTCGGCTACGTGACGAAGTAACGGGCATCGTGGCCACACTGACAGCAACTGAGAGACAATCAGAGCAAATCAGAGATGATAAGAACCACTACCGTGCACCGGAGTTCACCGGAGTTCACCGGAGTGCGACGTGCGAGTACGACCTGTGCAACTGGGTGGTGAGTGATCTCGTTTTCTTTGCTGTTTTTCGAAAAATTCTGACACCATAGCACCATCTACTAACCAATCGTGAGTTTTTGATCGATAAGTCGAATATCGATAGATGATAATGTCAGATCTAATAATATCAGATCAGAATGTATTTCATTTGGCACTTACAACGTTCGCGTTATTAGAATATTCATAATTTAATTGCTCGACATCTAAATGAATCTGCTCACTTTGTAGTTTTACCTCAAGATACACAATCGACCCTCTAATAGAATCTTTGAAAGAACATATAGATGTAATTGCACCTTAAAAGTGCAGTTGCACATAATCTAGATCCTAATCTCATTCTGGTCTAACCTAGAAGATCTCTAGTTTGATCTAATTTTTTCTTTTGGATTTTCGTCAATATTATATTTAATTATATTTGATTATATCAAAAAGTTGGATAAAATTATTCAAAAAAATCGACCGAACATCAAGAACATCATCCAAACATCGTATAATTTCAAGAAGTCAAAGGCACACAATTCCCACCGATCGGTAGAAACCAATTCTAAAAGGAAGGTTTTCGTTAATAAATAACAGACAAAGCAACGTTAATAAATAACAGAATGTATTGAGCATTTAGCTCGCGTCGAACACGAGTGTGTGTACATAATAGACTATCGCGACATGTCTGTTAAGTTTTTGCGCTGTCTCGCCAGCGACTTTATTCCGAAGGGCCAGCATGTTCGTCACGGCCATCGGATACGAGGAAAATCGCCAACGATCGCCCGTACCTTGAAGCAACGTCTCGAGGAACTGAATCAAGAAGATTCAACTTTGGATTTCAAGGTGAACATTGGTTATCTGACCAAGATCACCAGACGCTCGATAACAAGTGATTGGATGAATGCGATCATAGCATGCAGGAACAACGCCGAGCTCGAGAAATCGTCGCGCGCCAGGAAGCTGTTGGTAGATCTAAAGACAGTGAAAGAGGATTGGCTACAAATCGATGGGCCCTCTCACATTCACAGAATAGCGAAGCACTATGGCATTTACAATGATCTGTATGGAGACGCTTACTTCATGCCAGTAGTTCCACTGAACATAAGCTATGATCTAGAGGATGACAAGCTGGCAAAGGTTTACACTGGTAATGTGATCAAGCCAAATGAGGCTTCTAAGGCACCTGATGTAATATACGATGCAGAGGATGGAACACTGTGGAGCCTGGTAATGTGTACACCAGATGGTAACTTGACCAGCAACAACAATGAATATTGTCACTGGTTCATTGGCAATATTCCTGGGAATCGTTTGAAAGAAGGAGAGGAGTTAGTGGATTATCTGCAACCAATAGCGCCATATGGCATTGGCTACTGCAGATACATCTTTGTGCTTTACAAGCAGAACTGTAGCATAGATTTTTCGGAATACAAGAAAGCTAAGCCCTGCTTAAATCTGGAGGAGCGTAACTGGAGAACGCTGGACTTTTATAGAAAATATCAGGACCAATTGACCCCTGCTGGTTTGGCGTTCTTCCAGTCAGATTGGGATCACTCATTAAAGGAATTTTATTACAATACGCTAAAAATGAAAGTACCGATATTTCGATACAATTTCCCTAAACCATACATAAAAAAGCAAACGTGGTTTCCTTTGAAGGAACCCTTTAATATTTATCTGGATAAATATCGCGATCCTAAACAGATAAAAAAGGAATTTCTGTTGAGAAAATTGAAGAAGATTCATCCTTTCGATGGGCCAGAGCCACCAAAAAAATTCCCATTGGCTCATCCTAATGGAAAATATATACCTTCCTGGCTGAAATTCGAGATAATAAAGAAGAGGATGGGATACAGTCACGTTAACGATCTCGATGAATACTAGATTTATACTGATTGATAATGCAGAATATTACAATAAATAAAAATTGTTTTCAAATGTTGCATTTGTGATGAGAGTTGATGCAATAAACTCTATTCCGGTTTCAGGTGTGCCTCTAGAATCTGCCTGCTGTAATACTTGATATCTGCTCGCGTCGGAATAGTACCGTCAACCATCTCATGTTCAACCAATAATCCTGTAAATTCATATGGCTTGTATGGAGATATTTTGTAAGTCGATAAACAATTATTAAAGCTGTATAGTTTACAGATAAAAAAAGATAATTTACCAATCGGTTCTTCTTCGCCAGTCCCGAAAATCAAATTGGAATTATAATTCGATACATAGGTGTGGTAGAGATCCCGGGCTTCATCTTCCTTCTCCTCTAGCTCGAAGTTGCTAATACTGAAGAGAATATTTATTTTTTCGCTGATCTTCGATAGCAGCGCTAAAACTGTGAAACCGATACATCACAGTTTAATTAATTATTATTTCTATCGTAATTCCTATCTTAACATTTTTAGGAAATTTAAGGAATATTTAAGGAACAAAGAAAGATTTGAATTGATATTTAATTAATTATAACTTTTTTTTACCATCTGTGTCCATTCGTTTGATTTCTGTTAACGCGATGCGTTCTTCTTTATCATTGGTTATCATCAGTTCTTTGCCCGACTTCTTCACTACCGCTTTAATAGTGTGCTTGACGCAAATCAACATTGTATTCATATTTTGTAAGGCCGCTCTGATATTTGTGAGCAATTCGCCGTGAGCTGTTATCTGTTCCTTAAGATCTTTCTCACGTTTTTTCTCGATTTCAATTTGTTCCAATATATCTTGCATATCGTTAATCTTATACCTAAGAAATATCGCGTTTTCATATGATCAGTTCTTTATTGAGATAAAAAATTGTGCCTACTGGAGAAAAAGATTAATCATATTATTTCTTTTTTTAATATATTATGCTCCGTCATAGTTTGTAGCAACTATTTACTGTTCTTTTGTGGAATACTTGAGACTCTCGAGAACTTGTAACGCCTGTTGTTTTTTGCTTAATAAAACCTCGCGATTCTTTATATTGATGTCTAATCGCGCTAGCAAAGCTACTCTGTGTTCAGATTGATTTTCAAGCCTGATTGCAGGAAGAAAATATTTTATATAGCAACTGTAGATATTATAAAATATGTAGAAGATCTAAAATAGAATACCTTGATAGCAGGTCATGATATGAACGCACGAGTAAAACGTCTTTTACTTCAGTGCAGATATTTTCCAAATGTACTAACTGATTTTCTAATGTTTTGTTAAATAAATCGATATCTCTTTTCGCAAAAATTTCGCTCTATAATTATAAATAAGAAAATACTTGAATGTGAATCTCTTCATCATACAAATCATCATTATAAAGTAGATATTTGTAAAACTTTATCTAGAAGCTCTATAAACAGCATATTATTGTATAAAGTAATTAATTATGAGTCGTATAAAATTGTTAATTAATGAATATTTTTTGTTAAAATTTTATTGCAAATATCTTTATAAAAATCTTTTCTATGATTTTTGCCATAAAGAGGGACCAATAACTCTATACAATTTTTATTTGTAATAAGAGTAATCTTATTCACCTCAACACGCACTAATGACTGTGCGTAAGCCCACAAATCCTTCACCTGATTGTTTACAGTACTTAACATTTGTTCTCTAATTTTCATATTACGCCAGACAACTCGAGACATTCGTTCATATTTTTGTCTGATGTCGTCCAGATTCTCCGCTGCTAGTTGACCCATCACTGTCACCTTCAACATCACTTTGCATTGGGAAGATTGGTCTTCTTTCAAAATATTCATTAGAGTATCGAAAAATATCGCGTCCTATAAAGATTTCGTAAGAGTAAAAATGATGCATATAAAGAAGATCTTTGAATTAGATTTCTTATATTTTTGAGATAAAAATACTGTCTTTGAAAATTAATAATGTAACAATCAAAGATTTACTTTTTTCAAGATATTTAACATCGACCAATATGTAGAATGTATGTCTTTTGCTGCGTTATATTTTGCGATGGACTGCTGTAATTGTGCTACTAATCGTTGCTGCTCGCAGTTCGGTCGATATTCACTTTGCTCCTCGAGTTCAGATGAAAGAACGTAATGTTCCAGCTTGTCATTCAGCGAAGGAGCAAATCTTTATGGCTCAAAGTTAGCACAAAACGAGTATACGAATCTTAATATTTCATATTGAATATATACATAAGAAATGTCATAATATTATTGCAATCTATTAATATATGCTCTAATGAGTTTATAATCTTATATATATATATGAATTGTACAGGATGAGCAATAATTTTGGCCATCTGGAGCATTTCCGCTATTTTTAGAGACATGAAAATATTTTAATTACATAAGTTGTGTGGTATTAAAAGGATCATAATATGATAATAATAACTTTTCTGTGAATGGAGGTACTTTGGAAATTTCAAAGCCACTTCTATTTTTTTTAAATAGAATTATGTAATTTTTTTTACATAATGTGATTCATCTAATTAATCTGTAAAAGTAACTAGACTTATAAAAAAAAAATCAATAATATATGAAATATTTATTTATATTTTAATTATTATTTATTTAATTATTATTTATATTTTATTTTAGCACACACATATTTTGATATAAAATATAAGATAAGATCTTATAAAATATCAATTTTTTAACAATCACTTTATGTATCGAATAATGAGACAAATCAATTATTCCTTCATCCACAGAAAAGTTATTATTAGTATTACATTATGACGCTCTTATAATAATACTAAATATATATAACTTTGGTATTAAAAATATTTTTATATCTTTAAAAATAGAAGATATACTTTAGATAGACAAACATTATTTCCCTACTTTCCCTTATTTCTCTCTTTTATTCTATATGTATATATTAAATATGTAAGTATTTCGCTAATTATTATTCTAACTGCTTAAATATTTATTATAACGCGTAAGGATCAGATTCTACCTGTAATTCGATACCTCGCTTCAATTTTCTCTTTTTCTCACAGTAAAGCTTGTCTAAGAGTCGTCGTTTCAAATTGCAATTTTGAAATATTGCCGCATAAATTTCCTAAGATATCAGATTTTTATATTATAGGGCATTTCAGAACTGTCCGCGAAAAATACGAATTATTTTTGAAAAATTCAAAGTCAATGCTGATCTATTCTTACCGATGGTTTTAGGTGATTAACCGCCAAGTAGACTCTTTTATGATTGGCTAGCAATCTGAGAATAGGCTGTTTACCATCGCGAAGAAGACTGACAATTTCATGATGTCTCTTAACATCGACATCTAGGGACGTGACTTTCCTGGATACTATTGATTTCAATTTCGTTGCTTGCGATAGCTGTAACTTCTTATCGCGTGCTGGACATATTAAAACAATTACACATATAACTATTTAGAATTTATGAATTCTTTACTGAGCTATTTTGAAATGAGCTTTATTTCAGAAATGTCAAAAGGATTCTTGCACAATATTCTATGTAATCTATGTTATCTCTATATAAAAAAATACTGTTTTGTCTATTGACATAAAAATATTAATATCAGATAAATAAGTTTCATTTGCAAAAACAATTAATTTTCTAATATCATCATGTAATTTAATATTAGTGAAAAAAGTTTTCATAATTAGTTTATAATATTTTTAATTTTTTATATTTTAAAATTATAAAAATTTTTTTAAAATGCAGCCTCTTAAACTTTTTTAAATTTAATAATTTTTTTTTAAATTATAGAATGAAACATCTTAGTATTTCAAAATTCATATATTTACTCACATACCTACAATCCTTCAAAAAAAGTGACATAGTAAAAATAGACAAAATTAAGAAATTAAAAAATTGTTCTATTTTTTAGGGAATTGTTTTTTCTTTGTTTATTAAAATCGATGAGAAACAATTTCTCGAGTTCCCTTGTGAATGTATAAAGAATTCTAGAAAATATGTAACATTTTTTAATATTTCTGAAAAGTATTCCAATTTATACTTAAAAAAATTAAAGAAATTTTCTAAAAAGTTATAATAAAATTATATTGAAATTTTAAAAAATTCTGTAATTTATATAATAATTCTGAAAAATTATACTTATAAAGAATTAAAAAAAAAATTTTGTCACGGATATAATCTATTTTAAATGTAAAATTATTAAGATATAATCTTAAGATAATTCTTTCTCTATTTAATTTAATTAGAAATAGAGCGAATATATATCTATTCAAATTTGTAATTTTAAACAATGCTTAACCATGCAATTTCAGAATTCCACGATAACGACGTATTTTGTCGCTGATAAGCCATGTTTCCACATGTATCTCTTTAGGAACTTTAACACGACCCATTTCTATGATATTCCTTGGTCTTCGATAGATTGCAGCATCGAATATTAAACATCACATTACAGACAAGCGAGGAAACTGTCATTATCCGATTAATTGCACGCTGCATACTAATTATCTAGTTATTATCATGATTATTGCCATGGTTATTATGACAACGAGAATAACGAGAACAATAATTACAGGTATGCAGCATATAACTATCTTCGCGCACATAACTACCTTCGTACATACGTATACATACATACAATTAATTTAAAGAAGCTGTTTTATTTGAAGTTTGCAGGCAACCTAAATAATAAAATAATTATATTAATTAAAAGTATTTTATTTTTCTACTTATATTTCAGACTAATATATAAATGTTATAATCAGTTATTAAATACTATACAAATCATAACACTCATAGATCTTGATGGATAGTT